AACAGTGAAATTAACTGACATTAAAACTAAATTATAAACTTTATACTAAACATTTCTATAAATGCCTGGCTATTAAACAATAATCACAGCTTGGTCAAGTATCCTGAACTTTACATTTTGTTTTTTTAATGTGAGTGTTTTGTGTGTGTTGTTTAATTGTGATGAGAGTTATAGTTTATTGCATCTGAAATGTCAGTTACAGGCAGCCTCTGGTACTGGTAGCTGTTCTGGACTTCAACTCCCATCATGTGTGTTATACCTGCACTATGTGTGTGAATGTGTGTCATAATGTGTGTTAGTGTGTGTCACCTTGTCAGTGTGTCATTATGTGTTCTGGGTGGTTATTATTGTTTATTGGCTGACTGAGTCTTATGGGAGTTGTAATGTGCAATGTAATTCTCCAGAGGTTTAGGCCGAGCTTTTTCTATATTATTGAAAAGTAGAAACCACGTGTTTTACCTGATGGGCTTCTATTAAAATCTTTATTGAGAACTTACTGAGTCACTTTGTAATATTTATTTTAATCAATGTAATAAGTTATATTATTATTTCCACATGCAGCATTGCCTACCTTTATTTTAGTTTGCCTCCATTTTCTCATACCAGTTGCCCACATTTTATTATGCCCACATCCATGACAGATTGTCCACATTTTCTTGCCTGCATTACCTCCTGAATGATGAGTCTGCGCTGGGCTCCCTTACGTGGACTGCGTGGGTGCATAATAGTTGGCCGTGAGATATATTGACATCTTGTGGACTGCGTGGGTGCATAATAGTTGGCCGTGAGATATATTGACATCTTGTGGGAGTGTAACTGAGATTCACGTAGCCACAAGTGCACGTAAGGAAGCACAGGGCCTGTTACTGACTCATCTGTGGCTGAGTCCCTCAACCAGGCCCGGACTGGCCATCGGGCACACCGGGCAAATGCCCGGTGGGCCGCGGTGGCCATGGGCCGAGGCCGGCAGGGGAGGTCCCAGGATCTCCCCTGCCGGTCTATGCAGGGCCGGCACTCTCCTAGCGCCGGCCCCGCTGTTTGTCACGACGGGCCGGTGGGGAGATCAAGGATCTCCCTGACCGGCCCACATGCGGCCGCCGGCGGGGAGGGAGCCAGCCAGCCAGCCAGGCTGGAGAGAGGACCCGGCGGAGCTCTAACTTGCAGCTCCGCCGGGTTCCTCTCGCGAGATCCGGCGCGTTGCCATGGCAACGACCGGATCTCGCGAGAGTGAACTCTAGCCTCACAGGCTAGAGTTCACTCACCCACGAGGAACACCAGGGAACCCCGCCACCCTGCCTGCCAGCGTGCCGGACCCCCCTCCCAGGCTAAAGGTAAGAAGGGAGGGGGGAAAATAATGACTTTTTTTTTTTTTTATTTACCTACACACACACACAATAACATTTATACAGCACTCTCACACCCATCACACACAGCACTCTCTCCCACAGCACTCTCACACCCATCACACACAGCACTCTCTCCCACAGCACTCTCACACCCATCACACACAGCACTCTCTCCCACAGCACTCTCACACCCATCACACACAGCACTCTCTCCCACAGCACTCTCACACCATCACACACAGCACTCTCACACACATTACACACAGCACTCTCTCACACATCACTCTCACACCCATCACTCACACCCAGCACTCTCTTACCCATCACACACAGCACTCTCACACAGCACTCTCACACCCATCACTCACACCCAGCACTCTCTTACCCATCACACACAGCACTCTCACACCCAGCACTCTCACACCATCACACACAGCGCACTCTCACAGAGCACTCACACACACACAGCATTCTCACACCCATCACACACAGCACTTTCACACACACACAGCACTCTCTCACAGCACTCTCACAGAGCACTCTCTCACACCCATCTCACACAGCACTCTCACACACGGCACTCTCACACCCATCACTCACACACGGCACTCTCACACGGCACTCACACACACCGCACCCCTCACACACCGCACCCTTACACACACACATACTGCACCCCTCACATACACACAGAACCCCCCCAACACACTGCACCACACACATACACAATACTTCCAAATATATATATATATATACACACACACACACTACACTCTTAAAGGACCACTCTAGCCACCCAGACCACTTCAGCTTAATGAAGTGGTCTTGGTGCCAGGTCCTTCTAGGGTTAACCTATTGTTTTATAAACATAGCAGTTTCAGAGAAACTGCTATGTTTATCAATGGGTTAAGCCTTCCCCCAAAGCCTCTAGCAGCTGTCTCATTGACAGCCGCTAGAGGCGCTTGCGTGCTTTTCACTGTGAAAAATCACAGTGAGAGCACGCAAGCGTCCATAGGAAAGCATTATAAATGCTTTCCTATGCGACCGGCTGAATGCGCACGCAGCTCTTGCCGCGCGTGCGCATTCAGCCGACGGGGCGGATCGGAGGAGGAGAGCTCCCCGCTGGGCGCTGGAAAAAGGTAAGTTTTAACCCCTTTCCAGAGCCGTGCGGGAGGGGGTTCCTGAGCCACATATGCATCACATTACACCACAAACACAACACGACTAAAACCGACCTTATTACACAATACCACACCACGACCAGCTCACTCTACACACACGCAATACCACAAGCAGGCTCCAAACACATGCACAATACTCTTTCCTTTTGTCTCCTGGTATCCATTTATAGAGACACCAGAGACAAGTTGCAAGGAAACACAGTGCAAGCATGTTATTAAACTTGCTTGCACTGTGCAGAACAAATACAGGACTTTTTTCTCATGCTAGAGCTCTTCAGCAGAGCTCTGCGCATGGTCTGCCCTGGAAGAGCATTGAACCAACATGCTCATTTTGAGAGGAGGCGTGTTTGTCATTGGTGATGACAAAACACACCTCCTCTGCCCCGCCCCCTTTTTAGTGGGCCGCTGTGTTAAAAAAATGCCCGGGCCGAATTTTTCTCCCAGTCCGGACCTGCATATAAGTAAGGGTTATCCCCTATTCTGGACGCCCCAGATACACACTCTAACTGGCTCCCCTCTTTAGCGACACCCAGTGCTTTTTCGAGATTGTAAATAACCTTACATTTACAACTGAATCTCTCTTTCGTGCTAAAATAAAAAATAAAATAAAAAAAATAATCAAAGGTTCAGATTAAAAGTATAAAATCCCTCTCTCTAGTGTTTAAAACATACTAATTCCCAGCATGCACCTCACATCATCTCCGCACCTGGCTGCTGGAGTTATTATGTATCATTTTCCTATAATGTGTTGTACATGTTGGGGTTTGACATGGGTGCGCAGGCAGGGAGAATCCATTCAAGGGTGGATCATTTGATACAATAACTATGTAGATTCAGCTTATGGCAAGTGCTCTGAAAAGAAAGCTAAATATATTAAAAACAAGTCTTGTAAAAGCATTGTTAGACAATAGCGATTGTGTTGTGTAAACACCATGTGTAGGTTTCCCAGAATCCCTCACTCCTTGCTCGGAGTCTGTCCATGCTAAACAGATGACATGTCTTTTCAGACAGCTATTAAATGACTTGTTCCCCTCTTGCTGCCCACTAAAGTGTGTACGTTTAATGAGTGGGTGTCCGCTTTCACAATGAGGTCATCGCTTCATCTCAAAACAGGGGTTACCCTTTTTGTCACCTTCCTGAGAGCACAGCTTTTATATGTCCTGACTGTGCTCAGCCAGATGAAAACACTGTATCAGATTGATGGGCCCTCTGCACAACACACGCACTCCACAATGGATCATAGGGAACTTCCCCTCCCTGCCCTTTGTTCTACCAGCACAATCAGTAGTGCTGCCAGGAGGGCGTTACGGAGGGGAATTTATAGCATTGGGCTCCCGTAGATCTTTGACCTTGCTGGTGTGCAGCATCTCCAGATCTGAGCTGGCACCACCTTGAATCTTCCATTCTGTTAGAGCTCTCTAAAACGCTAGAGGAGGGTCGTGCTAAATATGGTGTCCATTTGTAAATCCGTTCAGTACCAGAGGAACATGCAATGCACTGCTTGCACTAAAAGAATTAAGTAATAATCATACCTGTATTTTATATAAATAAAACATTTTAAAATGTCTTGTCTACTACATAGTTTAACCGACCAGATGCAAGCAATGACTACACCCTGCACATCATGCTTTTGCAATCCTGAATTGCTTCCATGAATCTGACCGTTATTTCCCGTAATGTGCAAATTCATGGCCACCATGCAATACAGCGTCCCCTAATCACAAGCATCCCTAATAAAGGGACACTCCAGGCTCCTGCACACGTTAGATGCACTGTGTAGGTTAGGTTACAGTTAGTTATACTGGGTGGGTTTATATTATTAAAGGGACACTCCAGGCTCACTCACACGTTAGGTGCACTGTGTAGGTTAGGTTACAGTTAGTTATACTGGGTGGGTTTATATTATTAAAGGGACACTCCAGGCTCCCACACACGTTAGGTGCACTGTGTAGGTTAGGTTATAGTTATACTGGGTGGGTTTATATTATTAAAGGAACACTCCAGGTTCCCACACACGTTAGATGCACTGTGTAGGTTAGGTTACAGTTAGTTATACTGGGTAGGTTTATATTATTAAAGGGACACTCCAGGTTCCCACACACGTTAGATGCACTGTGTAGGTTAGGTTACAGTTAGTTATACTGGGTGGGTTTATATTATTAAAGGGACACTCCAGGCTCCCACACATGTTAGATGCACTGTGTAGGTTAGGTTACAGTTAGTTATACTGGGTGGTGGGGCGTGGCCAAGACTCCAACGAGACTGGCAGCAGAGTAGCGGAGCTCTGTGCCTGACAGGAGAAAATAAGCAGCCCCTGGTTGTAAAAAGCGGTAATGGCGACGAAAAAGCATCGTAACACAGCGGGGCGTACCCCAACAATAGATAACCCACCCGCAAAGTCCTCTCTGCGGAGATTTTTCACGGAACAAGTGGAGCCGCACCAAACAAACAAAATGGTGCCCGCGACCCTCACATGCGGCAGCCACCCAGCCCAGCACCATCAGAGGACTCAGGGGACGAAGCCGACATCAGGGCAATACTTACACAACTGCCCTCGAAGAAGGACCTCACAGAAATGTTTCAGAAACTGGAGAACTCTTTTAGTGAGAAACTGCAGGCAGTCACTGAGGACGCCCAGCATCTAGGCACCAGAGTGCAAACTCTGGAGGATGCCGAGGAAACAAATGAACGCCTATGGATGGAATGTCACACTACACAAAACCAACATACAGATGCCATAGTCTACCTCCAAAGAAAATTTCAGGATGTAATTACTCCAGAATTGCTCTTTATCCATCGCTCTCACTCTGTATTCGGAGTTGTCTATATTTGCATTTCATTTTATGAATACAACTCTTTTCTCATAAATCACATGCAGTAAAGCACTGAAACCATTATATTTCCTGTGGCTCCTCCCATTGCCCTCGTCACGGCTGTGAGGTTCAGACTTGCATGTGATTGGTTGGACATAGCCCATGTTTGGCAATTAGTTAATTTAACATTATATGTAATCCTCCAATGAACTACTCAGTCAGCATTCTGTATTCAATTAATTACTACATCTCCAAAGAAGCCCGCTGTAATATCGCCAAAGCCATTTTACTTTTTTTATATAAATAAATGAAGCTCATAGTATAAACCGTGTCTGACATTAAATAATAATGATAAATTCAATGTAAAGGTGATGGATCCAATGAATCCCAGCCGGCTGCATGTCTCCCGTGTATACACTTTATAATAACACTGAACGTTGGAAATGGAACGTTTGGGAATAGATCTGATAAACTCCTTCCCATTAGGCGTTTAGTAATGGGTGGACACTATATAGTAGACACTGCTAATTTTATTTCAACGGGTTTAAACAATATTTATCTTAGGAGCATTCAAACAGTGTGAAGTAAGAGTTATTGATGCATTAAAAGATTAGCATTGATCTGTGTGTCCCAGCGGCCCGTCCGATGTATATATTTCCAACCCCACCAGTAAACTTCTGTAACACAGCCATATCGGCCGTCTAATGAACAGTTGCATTATTTGCTATCAGTTTGCTAATACTGTAAGGAGGATGATGTTTTTCGGTGTGATTATCTATGATAAACCTTGCACCAGAGATAGGTATCTTTCAGAATGGTGGGTGTGGTAAGTTGAGGGATGTGGCCTCTTGGGGATACGACACAGGGTGTCCCTGCTTATCGTTAACCAACGTTTTGCCCATGGTATGTTATTTAATAAGACCATGTGTATGCATTAATTAAATATTTCCAGGAACATTAAAACTTTTGAATGTACAGTCTCTAATACTACAATTTAAACGGGAAGTCTATATCTCCATGTCACCATCTTTCTTGGGGAACATCTCAAACCTTTGTCTTCATCTCTTTCTTCTCCAGCTTTGTGCAGCCTCTGAACCATCGGTAAGTTTAACCTGGCCACCTTGCATGTTTCTGCTTTACTGTTTAGAGCAGTGTGCACTGTGTAGGTTCACATCTGACTACATACCCCACCGCCCAATTTTATACACACTTATAACGCATCTACAACCTACTCTGTATTTACTGCCTAAATATTCCCCCAAGCCATCAACATCTGAGTTTTCCCTGATACCCCTTTGTCTGAAACTCAATAATAGCATCTAGATTGTATCTATATTGTAGGTACATCTAAAAATCAATGTAATGCTTTAAGATCGAAACATCTGTGTAAAACTCAAAGCCTGAGATGTATTTGACTAGAGGATAAAACTTACCAGGAAAGGTTAAAGGATCTTAACATGTATAGCTTGGAGGAAAGACAAGACAGGGGGGATATGATAGAAACATTTAAATACATAAAGGGAATCAACACAGTAAAGGAGGAGACTATATTTAAAAGAAGAAAAACTACCACAACAAGAGGACATAGTCTTAAATTAGAGGGACAAAGGTTTAAAAATAATATCAGGAAGTATTACTTTTACTGAGAGGGTAGTGGATGCATGGAATAGCCTTCCAGCTGAAGTGGTAGAGGTTAACACAGTAAAGGAGTTTAAGCATGCGTGGGATAGGCATAAGGCTATCCTAACTATAAGATTTAGAAAATTGGGCAGACTAGATGGGCTGAATGGTCTTATCTGCCGTCACATTCTATGTTTCTATGCTGTGTCCCCCGATTACTGAAGCACTGACTTTAAGGTATAATAGTATGGAAACCCTGTCTATATACAGTTACACATACTGAGTGACTGTGTGTGGTCGATATATTTTTCTGTGTACCAGAGATTCCCCTAGTTATTTTTCCTTATTGTGAGACAGTTTCCGTTAGGAATAAAACCTCTAGCGATCTAACTATGCATCCATCAACCTTATCACGTATTCACACCTTCGACACCCCAGGCATTTACATGAGAGAATTTGTAACGTGCTAAACAGCACATTAGTAATAAGACAAACAGCCGACAATGACTGGACTGCAGCCTGTGTTACAGACCTTCCCTGCAAAGAGAATCCTTTTAGCTGAGAGCAGATTACTTCTAATAGCTCTTAATGCTGCTGGGATTCGATTAGACGCGGTGATTAAACTTGTCTGCTTGCTGGTACATGCTGCCTGGAAGTCCCCAAGCTTTCTTGTGTAAATACAATGTACTGCTCTTTGCTTCGTACACTGTGCATACCACGGGCGAAGGCTATTCTTTTAACCTTGCGGCTGTATGCTTCGCACAATGTGCGTTCCCTGGGCGAAGGTGTGTCTCTTTTCCATGCCGCTGTGTGCTTCCCACAATGTGCGTTCCCTGGGCGAAGGTGTGTCTCTTTTCCATGCCGCTGTGTGCTTCCCACAATGTGCGTTCTCTGGGCGAAGGTGTGTCTCTTTTCCATGCCACTGTGTGCTTTACACAATGTGCGTTCCATTGATGAGGGCGTATCTCTTAAAAGTGCCGCTTTATGCTTCGTATAATGTTGTTCCACCAGTGAGGGCATATCTCCAAACCATGGCGCTGTGTGCTCCATATGATGTTGGTCCACTAATTAGGGCGTATCTCTTAATCTTGCGGTTGTGTGCTTCGTATAATGTTTATCCACCAGTGAAGGCATATCTCTTAACCGTGTCGCTGTGTGCACGTGTAATTTTGGTCCAGCAGTGAAGGAGTATCTCTTAACCGTGGCGCTGTGTGCTTCGTATAATGTTGTTCCACCAGTGAGGGCGTATATCTTAAGCGTGCCGCTGTGTGCTTTGTGTAATGTTGTTCCACCACTGAGGGCGTATCTCTTAACCGTGCCGCTGTGTGCTTCGTATAATGTTGGTCCACCAGTGAGGGATAATCTTTTAACCAATACTCTGTATGCTTTGTATAATGTTGGTCCACCAGTGAGGGTGTACCTCTTAACCGTGCTGCTTTGTGCTTCTTATAATGTTGGTCCATCAGTGAAGGCGTATCTCTAAACTGTGCCGCTGTGTGCTTCTTATAATGTTGGTCCACCAGTGAAGGCGTATCTCTTAACCGTGCCGCTGTGTGCTTCGTATAACGTTGGCCCACCAGTGAAGGCATATCTCTTAACTGTGCCGCTGTGTGCTTCGTATATTATTGGTCCAACAGTGAGGGCATATCTCTTAACCGTGCCGCTGTGTGCTTTGTATAATATTGGTCCATCAGTGAGGGTGTGTCTCTTAACCATGCCGCTGTGTGCTTCGTATAGCGTTGGCCCACCAGTGAGGGCATATCTCTTAACCATGCTGTTGTGTGCTTCGTATAGTATTGGTCCACTAGTGAAAGCGTATCTCTTAACCGTTCCACTGTGTGCTTTGTATAATGTTGGTCCACCAGTGAGGGTGTATCTCTTAACCGTGCTGCTGTGTGCTTCGTATAATATTGGTCCACCAGTGAGGGTGTATCTTTTAACTGTGCCGCTGTGTGCTTCTTATAATGTTGGCCCACCAGTGAGAGTGTATCTCTTAACCGTGCCGCCGTGTGCTTTGTATAATGTTGGTCCACCAGGGAAGGCGTACCTCTTAACTTTGCTGCTGTATGCTTCATACACTGTGTTCCATGGGTGAAGGTCCATTTTTATACAATATCATCACAGGCAGGATCACAGGGATTAATACATCAAATCCCTGTCCTACTGCTGCTGATGAACGATCGCAAATATGTGAAAGAATGCTTTTGAATCTGTATTCGATCTTACACCGTGCTCTACGAGAAGCTTTGTAAAGGAAATGTTTATTGAAACAGATTGCTAGCTCTATAGAGGAGACAGTAAAATCTGAAATAGATTGCTAGCTCTGTAGATTAGATTGTGTGATTTGGACTACATTACTGGCTCTGTAGATTAGATTGTGACATTTGGACTATATTACTAGCTCTGTAGATTAGATTGAGAGATTTGGATTAGATTGCTAGCTCTGTAGAGGATATGATTCTTACATTACTGGTCAGTACTTTTCCTGTAGATATAATCAGTCCATAAAGAATTTTATAGTGTTTATTAATCGTCTATTTCCTGTTGCCATCATCGGCTTTTTATGTATTTATTTTGTTTTTATACAATTTATTTTTTTCCAGTTTTGTTTCCTTGGCAGCGACAAATTGAGAGATAAGAGAGCTTTTTGAAAAGTCTATTACTCGTGTCCTATGAATTAAGTAAGATTACAATCTGTGGCTGTCCTCCTCTTTAAAGATGCGTTATCTATCTGTAAATGAGCGTCTAATGGAAGCCATTCTGTCCTGTGTTATTGCTAATGTAATTGGTTAAAGACCTGGTCCTCTCTTCAGAGGCTCAAAAGATCAAACAGGCTGAGATTGGCTTTTTTCCTATAATTAATTTGGTGGGAACGAGCAGAGCTGTTAACACCAATGATCAAGGAGAACATTTCATTTGTAGTTCAGACGTCTAAGGACGCGGGACGTGTGATTACGACGACACAGTGTGGTGTGCTGCAGGACACTGCACAAAATGTTTCGGACAGCTAGCTGAGTCAATCACAGAGGGATATATTATATGCTGTGTAAAATGGAACGTACTTCATAATTCATGGATGGGGAAACTGATGGTTGGCTATGATCAAAGTGGTATTTTTAGTTCCCCCCCGCCCCCCAATCCATCATTCCATACATCAGCCACGTATAACAGTATGCAGATATATTTTATTTTAGATTTAAATTAACAATTTTTTATTTATTTATTTTTTTACCTTTTTTCTCTTTAATCTAGAGTTTTTGAGGGAAATATTATATTATATATTTATATGTATATATTATAAAATTATTATATAGAAGGTTTAACAGAAGAATCCTATTAATCCCACAGAATTCTTGCGTACACCATCTATGGCGTCGCGCCATTCCCTATACCAACATGGCGCCATTCCCTTTACCAACTTGGTGCCATTCCCTATACAACATGGCAC